GGGTTTAGGGTTTGGGGTCATGCTTTTGTGTAGGTGGAGTGCTTCATCACCGTTTTCAGGAGGGTTCGCAGGAAAAGGTGCATGTATACGTAATTAGGCAGTACAAGGGCTGAGTTTTGAAGGGGGCGTCCTTGAGTTAAGGATCTTCATCGCTGATTTTCAAAAACGGTCACAGGTCTGCTAAACCAGCCAGATTCTCACGGTGAAGGCCGCTTGAAGTTCCACAAGAAAACAAGAATCCTCATCAGAAGGGTTTAGGGTTTATTGACTTGATAACTTTGAGAACATCCGCCCAGCTAAGAACATACACAGCATCACCGACGCGGATGGTGAGCCAGCTTCTTAGTTGCACTCAAGGCATGAAAAGTTGCGTGTGTATTAAGTCCCAAGGTGTGCATATGCATGATATTTCGGGTACCTGGGATTTGGATAATGAGTTGTACTTGTAGTAAGGCTTGGTAAAGCTTGAAGATGCGCACTGGGGCCCTCAGAGAATGCTACGCTGGCCGTTCTTGCGTCGAGGGTACACGCGTTTGCGCTTTTGTTGCCTCACGCAGAAGATGCTGAGGTCAAGTGGGAGCTAATAACACCTGAAGGAGCCAGGGCCAACTTTGGCAAGGCTTTATTGGTCACTCTGCCTCGGGGCAAGGGGCCATTCCAAGTCAATGTGACCTATGAGACAACAGAGAAGAGCACTGCCATCCAATGGTTAACTAAAGAGCAGACAACTGGCAAGAGGCAGCCACTTTGCTTTACGCAAAGCCAGGCAATCTGTGGGAGATCCCTGCTTCCTTGCCAGGACACTCCATCAGTAAAGGCTCCCTTCTCAATTCAGGCGGGATTTTCGCAAAACGAGAATTCGTAAGATTCCCTAAGGCCCGATGGTGGGCCCTTTCCTCTTATGCTGCCTACATATTTTCTGGGGCCTCTAGGAAAAACAACAGGTGACGGTTCCCCAGCCGCTCATGGCAGTTGCCTCCGGGGAGCCTTCTGGGGAGCCGACAGAAGCAGATGGTCTACGCACTTTTACCTACGCTCAGGAAGTCCCTGTGATGTCCTACCTCATTGCTGTGGTGGTGGGCGAGTTCGAGTCGCGTGAAATTGGCCGTAGAAGTCGCTGCTACGCTGAGCCAGAGGTTGTAGAGGCAGCCCGCAAGGAGTTTACCGACATAGTGGATGAGTTCTTAGACACTGCGCAGAAGATTGTGGGTGGTGCAAAATATGAGTGGGGCAGCTATAACGTGGCCGTCTTGCCTTCGTCCTTTGCCTACGGAGGTATGGAGAACCCAAACTGTACCTTCATGAGTGCTTCCCTGATTCCTGGTGACCGCAGCCTCACGCCAACCCTGGCCCATGAAATTGTCCACTCCTGGATTGGAAATCTCGTGACCAATGCATACTGGAAAGACTTTTGGCTTAATGAAGGCTTCACCCGCTACATTGAGAGGCGGATACTGGGCACCTGTGCTTGGCAAGCATGTTTTGACCACTCGCATAATGTTTTTAAGTCCATAGGGAGCAAGCCCGTGCTTTAGATGATTGCGTGATTGTGCGGAACACTTTGAAGCCTTCGGAGGCAACATTAACGGAGCTGCCTTTCGCGGCCTGCTCCTGATGGTCGGGTACAACGATCTGGTTAAGCTACTTGCACTATCATTACAATTTGAAACAGTCATTACTAGGATCATCCTGTCGTTCTTAGTTTTTGTGGATTCTGTTGCCCACTCTCAGCATCATCGCTGAGCGCCTGAACATGTGATGCTATCGTGCAGGAATCTACTGTGAGAAGACTAGAGTTCTGTCTGCATCTGCCTTTCTCTATCAGGCTCTTGGGCACTGCAGCTGCGCGACAGGTTCTGGTAGCTGCTGTACCTACAACTTTTCTCACATTCATTTGAATACGGCGGAATTTAGCTGACTGTAAACGCTCGCGCTGCAGACCGCAGAAACTCACGCTCTTCTGAAGGATCTTACAAGGCTCATGTGCGCTTATCGAACAGAGGAGTCCCATTGATTGTGGTCCTGTCATCGCTTCGTTGGCTGCTCCAAAGCAAATCCAAACCAAATGCGTCTGCTGTTTCGGAGATGAGGGTGGGGGAGGTAACTCATTGTCCCAGCCACGTTCTTTGCAATAGAGAGTCCCCGAAAAGAAAAGCCAACGCGGAGGGGGGAGTCTTCGTGGTCTTGAGGGCGATTAGATGGTAAGGGCATTTCCAACGCAGTGAGGCTGGATGCCTAAACGAATTAATGAATGTATATTTAACACAGTCATCTCCTGGCTATTGCTGCAACACCTTGGGTTGTAAGAAATTCCTGGGTTATAAGACTCACTCTGCAAGGACTGTGGATATGTTGAACAAACAGGGAAGCCCTGGCCTGACCCGACTGGAGCCGGACATTGATGACATTGATCCGGATGATGCCTTCTCCCGAGTTCCCTATGAGAAAGGTTCCCTCTTCCTGTTGTACTTGGAGCAGGTTGTGGGCGGAGAAGAGCAGATGACTAAGTACTTGGGTTCTTACGTGGAGCGATTTCGGGGACGCAGCATCCAAACCAGCGACATGAAGGCCCACTTCCTGGAGTTCTTTAAGGGAGTGGAGAAGGTAAAAGAGATTGACTGGGAGCACTGGCTGCATGGTGAAGGCTTGCCAGACTTTGATCTTACTGCCCATGTGGACAAGACATTACTGGAGGAGAGCCGCTCGGCAGCTGACCGCTGGCTGACCGAACTTCCCGAAGATCTCGCCATCACGTCTATGAAAGCCCAACAGGTGTATTGGGATATGGGGTTTATTGGGGTTATATTGGGATAATGGAAAAGCAAATGGAAACTAGTACATAATATTATTATGTACTAGTTTCCATTTTCTTTTCCATTATCCTGAATAATAGGGCCCTAAACCCTAAACCCTAAACCCTAATGGGTACATATTCCATCACGTCTATGAAAGCCCAGCAGGTGATGCTGGTGCTGGATCATTTGATCAATGCCCTGGCCGATGGCAAGGAACTCTCCCACAACAAGCTGGCTGCTATGAACAGACTCTACAACCTCTCTGGCACTCGAAATGTGGAGATCGGCTTCAGGCACGCCTGCAAAGCAGAACTAAAGCATTTTTAAAGCTGCCAAGCTTTAGGCTAAGCCTGGTAGGGCTCTTATCGCATGTGCAGGGGTTGCTGGCTCTGCTGATCAGTTTCCTGTGCGACCAAATCTTCCTACCATTGCCGCTCTCTTGTTGTGCCGTTGCCCGGAGGTGGTGCCTGCTCGGATGCCGCAGCAAATGGACCGGCTGCTTAGAGGCCACGGAGCAGTTCCTCGCAAAGCATGGCCGAGGCGTATATGTGAAGCACCTCGGCACGAGCCGGCAATGTTGCGCAGTGATCATATTCCACTTCAGTTGGCAGTCGTAGTGCCAGATTTGACCACTACCTCCACCTAAGAGAACTAAGGCCGTTATACATCGCCCTCAAGGCATTTGATGCGGCAAGGGCCAAAGCCGTCTTTCTGAACAATCGCGCTTTAGCCGCATGCAGTCTTCGTTTGCAGTTGCAAATGTCATCATCATCATCATCATCATCATCATCATCATCATCGCACCTCTTCTGCAAAATGTGCAGTGCCTAAAGGTTCAGTTGTGTCGTGTCTTCTGAGGCAACTTTTACATGTCAGTCATCTCGAGACAGATCAGCTCCATCCTGGGTGAGTAGCGGCTGGCGCCTGCTCACGATCAAGGATAGAGTCGCCCTTAGATAGATGGAATATGGAACTGCCCAATATCATAATAGTACCCCCCATATACCTCATATTTATTCTATCTACTTGAGGGGGGTTATATGCCAAGGATGATCAAGGCATGCGAGATGCAGACAGCCGAGACATGCATGGATACATGGCCTTGGCCGAGATGTGCGGAATCATTATTGGTTGAAAAAGAGTTTTGTGATGGCCGCAGTAGATGTTGCTGTGGACGGCATGGGTTGACATTTTCACGTACTCACACGTTGCACGCCTGGAATTCAGCTAGTACTCTTTACTGTGACATGATGATATGACAGTTTCCGCTCGCAACCAGCACTGCGACCACTCGGGCGGCACAGGCACTAATCATTACCCCCACCACCTCTGCTGCTTCCGCAGCCGCCACAACAGCAACAGCAAGAGGAAAAAGAAGATCAACTGAGAAGAACAATCAGAAGAAGAGCTCAGCAGCGAAAACAGCAATTGTTATTTTCCCTATGAACAAAGATTGAACGCCGCAGGCCGCCAAGTCGCAGAACGCCCAAGCGCCAGCAGTTGCCTCAGTGAGCTTTTTATTTTGACAAGGGATAGAATCCTTATTATGGAGACCCCAAAAAGGGTAGCCCAATTTTTGTGGATCTCCCATCTTGACAAGGGATGACCATCGAGCCAGCTGTTCCTTAATGCCGGCAGGATGAAGAAGATGCACGCTTGCAGGGCAAAGCAGCAGCGATGCCTGAGCCTGAGAAACGAGGATAAGCTACGAAACCGGTCCCCGCCCCTATGTCTGGGTTTAGGGTTTACGGGATCTGGAAACTGCTGTAGTCTATTGGGGTTATATATGGATAATGGAAAAGAACATGGAAACCACTATATTATCCTAAAGTATATATTCGGGTTTTATACTGTTAATGACAAAGAAAACAGTAGTTTCCATTTTCTTTTCCATAAATCCTATATAACCCCAGTATAACCCCAATATTATAGTAGTTTCCATGTTATTTCCATTATCCCCATATAGCACCAACACATCCTCTATAATCCCGCTCGCCTCTGTGCGTGTGTCTTTCCCTGGTTCGCTCACAAGATCTCTCCCTGTCCTTCTCTACCCTTTCCCTCTCCCTCTCTCCCTCTGACTCTCACATGAGCCATAATCTAAACTCCGTAAAGGGGGTTATATAGGGGATTATATAGGGAACTACTAAAGGGGTATTAGGGGGGATACTAGGAGTTTTGACCATGGCTCAAATGGGTTGCTCCTCTTTGTACTTCCGGACAATACCTCCCAAAAAGGAAGCATCTGAAATCCTTACATACATCACTGCGACTATAACTGCTGAATCGTGCTTGCAAGGTCCCTACATTACAATCCTTCAACATCCCTGGGCGCTCCCCATGCCTCCACGCTACCATTCCAAAGTTTTGCTCCTATGGGCGCTCTTTCTTTCGTATCCCTATCGTCCATTACCATAGGTGAGCCCTCGATGTTGAAACAAATCTGAGACCCTAGACCTTAAACTCTGAGCTGTAAGCTCTAAAGCCCAACCCCCCCAAGGACGTTCCTAAAAAAACCTAAACGCAAAACCCTATACCTAAGCTCTAAACCCTCAAACTCTAAACCCTAAACCCTAAACCGCGCCGTGTGGAAAAGGCTGAACCTGGTAAGCCATGGTGCTTTTGGAGAGGAGGGCTCCGCTGAAGCCAATGCAAAAAAGGCCAAGCCCAGCGAAGTCCCACCCTCGGTTTGCTGGGTTTAGGGGTTTAGGGGTTTAGAGTTTGAGGGTTTCGGGTTTAGGGTTTGTAGCATGTAGGGAGAAATCAACTGGAAAAAGGAGTGGAAACGGGGTTATGTAGGGAGAATGTAGCGCGATGAGGCACTGAAATTAAGTCCCCATGGTGGAGAACCAAGTTCAACATCAAATGGGAGCATCAAGTGGGCAATCAAATTGAAGCTGCGGTTATGTAGCTGTGCAAGAACTTAAACTAAGTTTCCATAATGCAAAATCAACTGGACTCTGAAATGGAAACGGTGGATATCTGGGGATGAAGAAGCTACAACTAAGTGACTAGAATTTAGAATAAAACGGAACATCAGATGCAAACTGAAATTAGGGTCTAAAAGGATTCGAATTCAGTTGAGCTGGAAGAAGTGAAGGGGACACGCTGACACGCTATTGTTTACCGCATTTCTATGGTTAACTTCAACAGCAGCACAAGCTGAGGTACAAATCCAAGGGTTTCAGGTGCGGAAGAACTGTTGCGTTTGGCTGAAGGTTTAAGTGTTTCGGTTGAATGGATTGGCGTTGAGACGGTTGTGTTTTGATTAGCTCGGCTTCCCGCAACATACGCTAGGGTGGCTAGTAGAAGTTCTGACATATATATGTATATATATATATCTATATGTATGTATATTGTATATGTATGTATATACAGAGCTTCGCAAAGATTATGTAGGTGTTCCTGTAAGAGTATGTGAATTTCAAAGCCCTCGCGGTCTGTAGAGATGATTTAGGTATTCCCTCAAAATGTGGGTTCCGCCCGGGTATCTTGAAAAGAGGGGCTGAGTTTCGGGGACCCCCTGATGATGTGTTGCTATTAAGGAACTCAAATCAAAGGACGACAATATGGGTATATAGTAAATAATGGGGCTTCCTTATTATAGCAAGTTCCCTGACAGCAATCCACATAAGGTATCCGCAACGGAAAATCCTTGAGCAAACCCCGTCTTGTCCCGCATGAAGATGATACTGTACCCAATTCTCTTTTATGATTCAGGTGGTTTCTATATCGGCTGTGCTCCCGTAAACCCTAACCCCATTGTAAGTAGTATTTTATTTGAGGATACTATGGTACCCATTATAGACTAAGATTATATCCTCCTTTTGGGGTATAGTATTTTATCTAAGGAATATAGTCTTACTGGGTTTAACCACCAAAAAAACACTGCTCTTGTGGAAGCTCATTCCTGAGGCTGCGAAGAAGATCATCTCTGTGTTGAGTCTGGCTCCAAGCACTAGGGTTTAGGGTTTAGGGTTTAGGGTATATTGGGGTAATATGGGAATAATGGAAAAGAAAATGGAAACTGCTATAATGGGTTATATAAGGTTTAGTGAGGCATGTGAGGCTAAGTATGGTAGTTTCCATTTTCGTTTCCATTTCCCCAGTATAACCACAATATACTATAATAGTTTCCATTTTATTTTCCATTATCCCCAAATAGCCCCAATATTCTAACTTTGGATCTACGGTCCTGTGGGACACTTGACCGTTATCTAATTATCACACCTGCACCTAGCTGCCTGGTCAGCGAAACGCCTCAACCTGCTCCGATATCCAAGCCGGCGAAAGTCAGAGATGTAGATCAGCAGAAGCGAAGTAAGAAAATTTGGCAACCCCAACCCTTGTATCCGGTGAGCTCCAGCGACCATTAGATAATATTCGCAGAGTCCTTTGATTTTGGGGTTCGGGGCTAGCGGGCACCAGGCTGATCGCGCAAATCCATGCAGTTTCGTGTGTCAGGGCGTGACCCTAAACCCCAAACCCTAAAACCCCTAACCTAAGGTGCCGTGGCCCAACATGATGAGGAAGATGACCAGGCTTGGAATTTCACGTGGACAGAACCACAATATTCATGTTGCATTTGACTGCATGACCTTAGTATAATATTACAATAACAGCATTGAAAGGTACAAGGTGGTTAGTGTCATGCTTGAATTTTCAGTATCAGCATCAATCAACAGCACGAAGAACCACCAGCAACTTCAGAATGACAATCGTCGTCATCATGTTCGTTGTGGAGGCCCTTAAAGTTCAAAGACTGCCAAGTCAATTACACCCACATCACCCCAAACAAAAAAGAAGACGTCGTCATCGTCGTCATCGTCATCGTCATCATCATCATCATCATCATCATCGTGATCGTCATCGTCATCCTCATCCTCATCATCGTCATCGTCGTCGTCGTCATCACACGTCGTCGTCGTCGTCGTTGTCGTCGTCGTCGTCGTCGTCGTCGTGGTGGTCGTGGTGGTCGTGGTCGTGGTCGTGGTCGTGGTCGTGGTCGTCGTCGTGGTGATGGTGGTGGTGGCGGCGGCGGCGGCGGTGGCGGCGGCTCTTTCTCGCTATCATTAGAATTCT